TGGGGTTGTTTAGCATGGAGAAGAGGAGGCTCCGAGGAGATTGTAGAGAGGTGGAGGTCAGTGTCTTCTCCCAAGTAACTAGCCATAGGACAAGAGGAAATGGCCTCAAGTTGCACCAGGGGAAGGTTTAGATCCAACATTAGGAAGAATTTCTTTACCAAAAGGGTCATCCAGGATTGGAACAGGCTGCCCAGGGTAGTGGTGGAGTCACCATCCCTGGAGGGATTTAAAAGATGTGTAGATGTGGCCCTTAGGGATATGGTTTAGTGGTAGACTTGGCAGTGCTGGGTTAACAGTTGGACTTGATGATCTTAAAGGTCTTTTCCAACCTAAATGATTCTACAGTTAACCTAGAGAATCATTCAGTATCTTCTGAAAGTCCAGAGGTGTACAATTGTGTTGTAAAATTTCAAAGTAACATGGAGATACCATTTGAGCAGAGTCCATACATCATTTGCTAGAAGCAGCAAAAGAAAATTCTGAATCTTGCATGGCTTAGAGCATGTAGTGCTGTGGCTGGGTGTGGTTGAGGCTCATGCAAGTGTAAGGACACAGAATAAGAGAAAAGAACAGGAAATACAGGTTTCGTTACGCACATAGGTGTTAATTTTGAAAATTCGTTATAAAATAAGTAAGCATTAAGCTATGTGTTAGAGGTAATATGAAACAGTATTCAGGTTACTGCTAGCACAATGACCAATTAAAATACACACCTTAGGAATAATAGCAGTCGAGGCAACATGGTTGTGAAAGTATTGTGATTTAACGTAGGAGAGGAATGGCATTTTAGCTTTGGAGTTCACTGACCTTTCTGTGATTAACCATATAATCCTAATGTCCTTTTGATGTTAATATTCATACAAGGTTTTTTATATGGTTGATTACTATGTATTCTCTGTATGATTATTGTAGTTTTATTCGCACATCATAATGTCTTCAGTTAATAAACTTCTAGATTATCTTTGGGGAGGATTACTGAAGAGGTTTTTGGCTAGGGCGATCTTATAAAACTTATTCTGGTTCTTCAGATTTAAAATGATTAAAAGAATTTTTTTTCAGGCAACCTTTTGACAAACTGTAGAGGAAAGCATTCCTCAATCGGCTGTCTTGACTCTTAGCTAAAAGATGAAAATATATTGTTGTAAGGTGTTGTGGTTTGTTTTTTCTTTTCCTTTCAGGCAATTGTACTTTGTTTTCGATTGCACTTCACAAAAGATAATATCACAAATAACACTGCGGCAGCTACAGTGCGGCAGGTAGTTACTGTTGTATTTGAGAGAGTGGTTGCTGAAGATGAACGATACAAAGGTGGGCATACTTCTTACTCTGCTTGCTTGTATTAACCTGTTTTTTGGACACACATCGAATGTTTATCTTTTTCAGATAAAGAAGTAGTAAAAAGTCTGAATCACAGGCATTACTTTTTACTGTCTTTTATACGTTTACTTGTATTCAAAGGAGATGAAGTCCTTAGCCATTGAGTCAGTCCAAGTCAGTACAGTAATATGTAAAACCTGGATTTTTTTCAGGCTGTGAGAACTGGTCTTCAGGTTACTATTGTGATGGGATTTGAGGTGAGGGTGTCATTTAAGGTGAAGGTAACTTAGATTACTGAGAGGGAAATATGTGGCAGCAGTAGTTTGAAGAGAGCATTTATTGGAAAGAAGTGCTTGGCGTTGATGATCTTTATTATTCAATCTAATGTTTATTTCTGTAGACATGATAAGTTGCAAAAGAATTAACCTGGCCATTCTCCTAGAATCTTTTTGCACACTTAATATGTACCTGATTTTTCAACAGTTTCTTTGTTCACAAAACTGGTTTTTGTTTTTACACAGATACTATTGACCAGCCAGTTGCAGTTCAAGGAAACAGTAACAGAAGATCTGTCAGTACACTGAAGCCATGTGCTAAAGATGCATATATGCTCTTTCAGGTAGTTGGGGAGCATGTATTTATACATTTAGTTATGATTGTGTGCTTCTACATCTCTAAGAAATTTTGGAAACTTGCTGTTGGCATATTAACAAATGAGGTCCTTAACCAGAGCCTCAGGCTTTCTTATGTGCAGTATCCCGGGGGATGACTGGAAAATGATGACGAAGTGGCCTAGGAAAACGTTTTACTATAAATCTTAAATAACAGCTAAGCATGCATGTCTGCGTTAAATACAAGATTCTTTTTTTTTTTTTTTCTGTGATCCAAACACTGCTACTATAGTTCAGTCTTGCTTCTTGTGCTTGGTATGGTATATTAAAGTTGAGCGTATAATGAAAGGTAGTAGCTGTATTCGTCACACCAATAAAAATCTTCTTGACTTAGCATATTCATTGGTCTTGAGGTATTTTTGAGGGCAGGAATGAACACAATTGCTACAAGGATCTGGCAAAGTTTAAAATGTCTTTTTAAAAGTGTTTATAGCTTAATCATTTTTGTAAAAGAAGTATTTGAGGAAAAAGTGATGTTGAAATTGAAAAGGTACTCATTCAAAAGAGGGAGAGAGTGTAGATTTTGTTGTAGACTCAGAAAACTTGTGCCAGCATAGGACTGTGCAGAGAATGTAAATGTTATTATATTTCTTTTTAAGGATCTTTGTCAGTTAGTTAATGCCGATGCCCCCTACTGGCTCGTGGGTATGACGGAAATGACCCGGACGTTTGGCCTTGAACTTCTTGAGTCAGTCCTCAATGACTTTCCGCAAGTGTTTTTACAAGTGAGTAGTTCTTGGAGGGAAAACAGGAAGACTTTTGTTCACTTGGGTAGTAAAATTTAAACTTCATTATCTTCTCTTTAATTTAGCACTAGTACTGCTTTTCAAAAAGGCTTGGTAGCTTTTACCTGTTGGGTTTGTATCATAGAAAAGTGTGTGCTTTTTGTCCACTTTTTTCTATTCCCATACACTTTACTTGTGTTTGTGCAGTTTGTAGAGCATGTTGTACTCTGTTTTGGTTTTTGTTTTGCCATATGTATCTCCTCCAAAGATGCATTTTCTTATCTTGCATGATTTATGACAGCTCTGTAACTTAGTTTGTGGCATTTCTATGAAAACATTAACCTCACCCCACTTGCAAAGCAGGAAGAAATATTACTATGAATTGTGTGGATCTACTGCATATAAATGCACCATGATCCTCCAGTAACACATTTTAGCAGGCAGTAGCTAAATTAAAAAGTTAAATATATAATAAATGGTATATTAGCAGCCTATTTCCATTTTCAAAATAAAGAAGAGGGGTGCATGGTACAAACCTGACCATGTAGTTTCATCATGCTTTTTGGTAGCTTTACAGTGGTGTCTGCCATTCTTCCTTTTCATTTCCTGAGTGTGTAATTTATACCGACATTTACATGACTTCAGAGTGCTTGATCGTAACAGTAAATGTAAATAAGATGCATAATCAGAGCTACTGGTAGCAACTAAAGAATATCTGCTTATAATTGATTCTGTTTTCTTTTTCAGCATCAGGAATTCAGTTTTCTTCTGAAAGAAAGGGTATGCCCTCTTGTTATAAAGCTCTTCTCCCCAAATATCAAATTCAGGCAAGGTTCCAGCACGTCATCTTCACCAGCACCAGTGGAAAAACCATACTTCCCCATCTGTATGCGTTTGCTGAGAGTAGTTTCTGTTTTGATTAAGCAGTTTTACAGTTTGCTGGTAAGAACATGTTTTTATGCATTTTCTTTATGCAATTCTGTTTTTCTATGTATATACCAGTACAGTGATCAGTAATAGTATTCATTATCAGTTCTATGATCCTGATTAGTTCTTGGGAACTGTGTATGTATACTGAGGGAAGAAAAGGCTAAATATTATTTTCCTCTTATGTGTATCTGTGATTTTATTAAACATGGGCTTGTATAAATGCTCAGAGTAGATTAGATGTTGTCTTTTCTGTGCTAAACTGCCTTTCAGTTAAGGGAGCCTTTTGATCTTACGTTGTTCGCCTGGCTTTAGGTAATGTTGATTGCCGTGCCTTGTTTATACTTGCTAAGAGGCTTTTGACTCATGTTCATAAAGCTGTTGACAGAATGTGCATGAAAAACACATGTTCAGCTGTTCTTACATCCTGAAATTTAGATAGTTGCTAAAAAAGTTTTTTTTCTGTTTTATTTGTTACTGTAGCACATGTAAGAACTTTAATGCGATGTCTGTGAGGAATTTTGCTCCTTCGATACAATTGCATATGTGGTGTTAGCTTGGCAAAAATACTGTGATTATTAGGTATGGTTTTTATATCATTTTGAGTAAATTCTTAACTGAAGGAGCGTGCAGAACTTGCTGGGATAGGACTCCTAAGATGGAACAGAAATTTTTTTGAGAAAATATTTTGTAGGAGGCTTTTTCTTTTAATTTAATGGCTATAAACTATCTTTTAGGTAACAGAATGTGAAATCTTTCTGTCATTGCTGGTTAAGTTTCTGGACGCAGACAAACCACAGTGGCTAAGAGCTGTTGCAGTAGAATCTATTCACAGGCTCTGTGTGCAGCCTCAGCTATTAAGGTATTGACAAATTGACAGTATATAAATACACTGAGTTTCACTTTTACATAAAATTTAAGAAATCTTTTGATTTTTCTCTGGTGGAAAATGCTTTCTAAAACATTGTAAATATACTCTTCAAGATAATTTTTTATAAAGCATTAGGCAATGCTTATTATCCAGGAAGGGATGAATTATAGTTATTTGAGTATTCCAAACCCTCTCTGTCTTCCTAACATTACCTAAAACTAAACATTATTATTTACCTAAATATTTGCAGTTAAAATGTGCTTTGAGTCTACAGTTCAGGGGTGGGGAAGTTGCTGTTAAACTACGCTTTTAGTCCGTAATTTGTCAAATACTTATTATATTTTATACAATACTTTCCAGGTCCTTTTGTCAATCATATGATATGAAGCAACATTCCACTAAAGTTTTCCGTGATATTGTGAATGCACTGGGGTCCTTCATCCAGTCACTATTTCTTGTACCAAGCACAGGGAACACATCAGCGACCCCAAACCAAACTGGTAAAGCCTTGTCCTTGCTATCATTTTCATTTTCCCCCTTTTTCTTGTAGTAATAAAAGCTGATTTGATTCAGTGTGTACATTTGGCTTAGTACAGTTCTGTACTTCCATGTTAGTTGAGATGAAAAGCTAGCTTGAGACAAACTGGTGTTTTCAGGTCTGTTATAACAGGTGACTTTATCTGTATTGTGGGGAAGACATAGCCCCCAGTCAGCAGAGAAGTGCTCCTGTGTTTGTATCTGCTTCTACAGTGACCAAGCTCCTGGGTTCACAACTTTCCTGAGGGAAATTCTGAGGGAATTATTTCTAATTTCTGACTATATAGAATTTGTCTCATTTCTGTCTCCTTATGTGGGGATGTAATTTATGGCAGCATGCAACTGAAGTAGTAAGACGCTGTGTGTTTGCTTCCTCTTGGGAGGCAATAGCTAGTTCTGGGTGTTCAGGGGCAAACTGGACTGAGGAATCCAAGAGGTAGAAAGATAGATCTGTGTTTTACAGATGATCTTTGCTTTTTCTGTAAGCTGAAAACAGTTGTTTACTGAAACTGGACTTGATTGTTCTTTTCTGACAGCCTGGACTTCGGCATTTTACTGGGTATATTTTTATTTCTATAAGAAGAAATGCTCCTTGTGTTAATACCTTTGCAGGTGTTTACATCCGAGTTAAGGCTCTCTGCTTCTTCCCATAGTTCTGGAAGCAGAGGCCTCAGCAACAAACAACATAAAAATAATTTCTAAGGGTGTCTTTTTGACATGCCTTCTTAAAAGAGGTAACAAACAGATAATCAAATGTAATTACTATCTATCGTATCTACCATTAAACTAATGAACATTGAAAAGTCTGGCTTTAGATCACACCTTCCAGGGTTCACTCATGAAGTCTGAATGCAGGTTGGTGTTAGCATTGGTTACGTGAGGAAATCTGTGCCAGTAGCTGTTGTTCAATAGCTGTCCGTACGGAAGCTGATAGAACACTTCTATTAGTCTTATTTCTGTGTTAGCTTAATCCACTTAAGGTAAATCAGAAAAAAAGCACTTTTCATGATTTAACATGCACAGATGAGAAGCCGAATACTCATTCTCCTGAAAACTTAAATTTTGCCTTCATGTGCAACAGCACTGCAGTAGGATAATACCCTTAGTGCTGTCGCTACTTCTCTGGCTTATTGCTCCAGTTTGTTTTCTCCTTTACCTTCTCACTTCTTTCTGCCTGAGTGTTTCTCATGTCTCTTTCTCTTGTATTTCTCATTCTGCCTTTTTTCCTCCTGTGGCCATGTCTGACACACAAAGAGCAGATCAATGCAGCCAAATTTTCAAACTGAGTCTCCTGATGATAACGATAGTCCTGACGTAGCAGGCTCTCTTACACACCTGCAGTTGGCTTTTGAGCCTCAGTTTTGCAACAAGGTTTGCCTTTGTTTCACAGAGGCAGTCGAAAGCTGCATCTGCCTTAGTTTTGTGTCACTACTATTATACTGGTGTAATGTTAAGCCTTTTTACCGCTTTAAGGAGTTAATGTTGATGTAAGAATAGTTGCATATGTCTGACTGCTCAGTGGGATCTCCGAAAATGACGCCAGTGTAACTGTGTATGTGTTAGTGGCAGCGTTTGGATAACCGTTTCTGTTTAGCAGTATGTTTTTGTTGATTCAATCTGTTGAGCTTTACTGTGTTAAAGTGCATACTTAGGCTTCTGTGTGTATTCACATTGCCTAAATTAGTAGCGTAGTCTCTCTACATATTAAAAGCGAGCACACCAAAATGGCAGTTGTTACAGTGATGTATTAGGTGCTGTGAGTCGCCGCCCTGGGGTCTCTGCCCTTCTCTCCCCTTTGTCTATACAGAGAGAGTCTGAACTTGTGGTACCTGCTCCTAGTAAGTATAGACACTCCTCTATATGTAGGAAGTGTATATATACAGTATTTCTTGTCCTTTTATCTGCTTTTTTTGGCTTCTTAAATTGGAACCAAAATTTGTTCCCTCCTAGCTGTTGGTTGGCATGTTGTCAGCTCTTCCCTGATGTGGTTTGATTTCTTCTGCCTTGACACGGAACAGATTCAAACACTGCGGTTCTCTTTGAGTTTCTTCTTGTGGCTTTTGCGTTTCTGAAATCTTGAAAGTTTGTGATGATCTTTGTTCTTGGAATGATTAGCCTCTCTTTCCTACTACTGAGTTCTACTTGCAACTATTCAAATACTCCTTAACTTTTAAATATCTGACTGACTGTTCACTAAAGTATATATTGTTTTATTGAGACCTTGTAAACTTAGGTCGTTCATAGAGTGTTATGAATGCTGCTATACCTTTCACAGAAACACTTTATTCTGACTGAAAATAAGGCAGTTGGCATCAATCAACTGTGCCTTTTAAACCAATTACTTCACATACAAGATTGTGTTTTAGACAGCAGAGGGAGCTCAAAAATAGTCTTTTGTGTTGTTGGTTTTTATTATCAAGCAGGGCGTCTCAGATTAACCCATGTATATTGACTTAAAAAATAAATATGGAAAAAGTGTGTTTGCTGATTACAAAAATATTAGTTTGGTTAATTTTATCACTTTTTTTTTTCTGAACAGGAAGCAATGCATCGGGGAATACTGGCTCAGCACAAACTAACCCGGGAGTGCTTGGAATGGGAGGAGGTGCAACTGTGTTACCTGCCTTTGAGTACAGAGGCACTTGGATACCTATCCTGAATGTAACAGTACAAGGCAGTGCTAAAGCTACCTAGTAAGTACCTCTGTCTTTATGAAAATGTATGTAACAAGTATTTTTATTTCCAACTTGATGGTTTAAGGATTTTTCTTGTTAGTGACTATTGAGGTCTTCATTTCACTGGCATTGAGGTGTATTACGGATTTTTCTTTTTGTTGGTGCCATGAGGTGCTCTGATTTTTTGGTATTTTGTCTGAATGCTCTGGATTCAGATCCAAGTGTCCCCTATGGCTTTAGCATCTGTTGGATTTTTTTTTTTTTTTTTCCTACCATACTGTTGCTGTATTAACTCTTCACTTTTAGGACTCACTACAGTATACAGCAATTTTAGAATGTCTTTTGCTGAGTTGTGTGATGGCAAACATTGTTTACCTGTGCATATAGGTGGTGAATATTTTATCTGTCCTATATTACCTAGCTATGACAGGCTTTTCCAGTCATATGGACTCAGAGGCAGCAATAATGCAATGTCTGACTTGTTCTTAATTTGTTATAACTGTGTTCACACTGTTGTGACTTTCTGACCTATTTCCCCTGTTGTTCCTATGTGCTTGTGTTCTTCTGAGTAGGTTCTGTTGCAGTGCTTTAAGTATAATAATAATAAAAGTAGAATAATTCATTCGGTGATCTTGCTTGTATGTGTTAATTTCTAAAAATATTTGTTTGCAGATCTAAATACTCTACTCAGGGTTTGTACCCTCTCATTTACTGTTTTATGTAGTGACTCATTTAGTCTTAATGACTTAATTAGTCATGAAGGGTTTTTTTCTTGATTTGCTGTAAATCTTGGCAGATGGTATTTGGGACCTGTTTGTAGTTAACATTCGGTTGGAAACTTGTTTTTTATTGTGTTTTTAATCACAGTGGTTCTGTTACACACTTACTTGTCATGCTTTCAATTTTTTAGTTTGGAAATGCTGGATAAAGTAGAGCCACCTACGATTCCTGAAGGCTATGCCATGTCGGTGGCATTTCACTGTTTACTGGATCTTGTCCGTGGTATCACTACCATGATTGAAGGAGAGCTGGGAGAGGCAGAAACAGTCGGTCAAGCCACAACAGAGGCAACTTCATTACCAGCACAGTCTTCAGAGCAGCAAGACTTGCAGTCTGTGTCTGACCAGTCGGAGAAAGAACTAGGTATCTGAGAATGCAAACACTGTATCAAATGCAGCAGTTTTACATAAGGCAGGATTAACATAGTTTGTGCTTTGTTGCTTGAATTTATTGTTTCTAAATTGTATATAAAAACTTCTAACGAAGTAGGTTTTGGGGTTGTTTTTGGTAACGGAACAGCAGTAGTCTCTGAAGAAGACGCTTGCTGTCCTGCCGCTGTCCTGTAGTGCCTTAGCCACAGGCTCCTTATGTCTATTAATACAGTTTTACATGCGCGTACGTGGGATGTGAGGGAGAGATAACAGGCAGTCTGTTCTCCAGAACTTCTGTTCTGCCTTCCCGTGTCCTTAATTCCGCTTAACACTGAGATCCAAGGTCACGAGAGACGACCTGACTGAGAGAGACGTGTCAGTCGCGACCACCTTAGCAGAAAGGTGTGATTCTGGTAACGAGGGGGAAAGGCGGGCGTTTTGATGGAGAGGTTTCAAGTAAGGCTGAAGTATTTGGGGAGGAAACGTCGCCAGCAGCAGCCCTGGCCTAGCCGGGGCCCGCCTTGGGGCCGCCCGGGGCGCTGTACGTGCACCCGCGGAGG